GAGACCGCTAAGCTGTCAGGGTCATAGAATCCTGGAATAGTAGAGTTGGAAGGGGCCATGCAGGCCATCGGGTCCAGCCCCCTGCTGTTGCAGGACACCACATCACACCATCCCACTCAGGGGGCTGTCCGGTTTCTTTTTGGATGTCTCTACTGGGTCGGTGTTTCTTGGATCTTGTTCATGCCTGTCTGATCTTCACAATCTGCTCGGAGTATCCTCATGGTCAGAGAGGATAGGAAGGAATAACGTGATGGATAATGAAAAAATACAATTCATCTTGCTATCCTTCCCATCAGGGTACAATAACCACCCACGGCAATTTTTAAAACTGTGCCTAGTGCCCCAAGTTTCTTCTGGTCTGCAGTGGGACTTCCTAATTCATAATCATGTTTGTCCTTTTGTTTTTCTAGACTTCACTCCTACTAGCAAACTCAGTGCAGACAAGCCATAGAAAGCGAAGCACAGACAAACTGAGGGGAGTTTCTGAGGGTTTTTAAATTTTTGTCAAATGGCAAAGGGGAACACACGCTCCTGCTCTTCACCCCACAGAGAAAACCAAGGAATTTATGAACCGCAATTGCACAGTGCAAAGCATCGAGTGCAAACCAATCTGGCACTGAATGGCGTACAGTTTGCATCAGCAACTCAGCTGCTACAGCCCTGCAGGTTCAAAGGACTGGGTTGACAATGGCGGGCATGTCCTCGGAGGCGCCTCAAGCCCTGCAGTGACTGGGCTCAGACCACAGGAAGAGCCATGCTCAAGGGCATTGTCGTTGGAACCTGGGTTATCAAGTCATCTGAACTCCACCAAGATTATAGTGGCAAACAGTCCACAGTTTACAGCCTGGCAACAAAAGATAGGTTCCTTGCCATGGGTTGCTCTTGGTTCAGGTGATAGAGTTTCCTGTTTGCAATCGTGGCCCCAGTCCATTTGGTTCTGATTCTGCCTAGCACTGGCACATGGGCCCTGACCGCTTGTCCGAAATAGGATTTGGGCCTCCAGCTGAAAGGAGTTTCCCACCCCTGCCTTCGAGGGATGGCTGCTGGCAGTCGGTTTAGAAACCTACCAAAGCAACGATCGGTTATTCAAGTGGCCACAGCTCAGTCCTTTATAAATAGCAGAACTTCCTGTTATTCTGGGATCCAATAAAAAGATCTTTTTGCAATTAAACTAGAATGTGAAGGAAACCAATCCACATCTGCATTTATCCACATGCAGGAATAGGGTATCTCTGACTCATGAGCTATCTTGAATCAGAATTGATGTGAGTGTTGGTGGAGTGGAAATATATTGAGTAGAGACGGGCAGATTTTATACAATCCATTTTCCCTTGTCTTTCCAGGATTGTCAAGCACCTTTTGTTTCATCATCTGCTTGTTGATGGAACTGAATTTATTCAGGTTTTGATCAGCATTACGTTCTGCTTACGTCAGAGGTTTTCAGCTGGGTTAATCTACTGAAGTAGATTATTGAAAAGTGACCGATTATTCAGAATGCACATTTTGTACATTCATGCAGTCATTCCAATGCACAATAGCACAAGCACCCATTCACACATTAACCAGCATGCATTAATTAATGTGCATCAGTGCATATGAGAATTAATGTAAAGTCCCCCTCCATCGCAAAGTAAATAATAACCTATCCTCACGTTTGCACAGTTCATGTGACCTGCGGAAAAAATGCTCAGCTGTGGGATCCAGCCTGGATTTCATGGACATCCCTCGTGGGCAGTATCCAGTGTGTTAGTTTGCAACATGGTGTGCAACATGGATCAGTCTAAGGACAGTTGGATGCATGTTTTTCCCAAAGGTCCCTAGACTTCGGCGGACGCAAAGCCATCACCCTCACCGACTGGACACTGGGTTCCATGAGACTGAAAGGTTTGTACCAGATTACAGCTCCAGGAGGCAACCCGATTTCCACTGAACAAGAGCTGAAGCCGAGAAGGCCTTTCCCACTGAGAAGGCCAGAGCCTTCCTTTCTCGTCCGCCGCCAGGCAGTCCTTTCCCACGCAAATCTTTGTTGCCACTTCACAGCAAGCAAGGCAAGAAGACGCTCAAGGCCCTCCAGCGAGCTGAGCCGTCGCCTCCGCTGTGTGAGCCAGAGCTGAACCCAAACGGGAACCTTCTCTCCGATCCTTCCCTTTCAGGGTGGCCCCTGCTTCTGCCTGCCCCCTTTCTGCATCCTCCTCCCCCTTCAAAGACCAAGCAAGTGAGCAGCAGTCACACTCTTGTGAACGCGAGGCGAGTGTACGAGTGGAGGGCCAGTGTGGTGCAGCGGTGTGGGCGTCTGGCCTGGGGACCGGGGAGATCAGGGTTCAAGCCCCTACTCAGCACAGTGTGAGTGAGTGACTCCAGGCCAGTTGCTTTCTCTCGGCTGAGCCTACCTCACAGGGTTGCTGTGAAGAGGGGGTGGGGGAGAGCTAGTGTGGCGTGGTGGTGAGTGTTGGATTGTGGACCTGAGAGATCCAGGTTAGCGTCCCATGCAGTCATGGAGCTCTCTGGATGCCTTTGGGCCAGTCTCTCACTTTCAGCCTAGCCTACCTCACAAGGTTGTTGTGAGGCTACCATGGGGGGAGGGGGCCTAAATAAGCCACCCTGAGTTCCCCGTAAGAGCTGGGGTATAAATGCAGTGTAATGAAAATAACCTTCAATCGATAGGTATGTATACACACGGAGAACCATTATGTGGAGTGAAAGGGCAAACGTGCCAGGACAATAGCTCATGATGATTCCATTAAAGCTTAAACTTTAGTACAAAATAAGCCCAATACCCGTTCACAACAGCAGGTCATCCTAAAATGCTCTAGCCACCACCCGTAGTGGGACAAGGAACCATTTAAATGGGATCGAACTTCCAAACAGGTTGCAATTCTGTAATTTAAAATGCTGCTCCTCCAGCAGCTATCCATGTGTCCAAAGAGAGACACCCACGCTGACCACTAAGTCGCTGGTGAGAAAAATCGGTTCTGGGTTTTCAGCAAATAGCAGGGAAACCGACTTGTGCAACGAGGAGCACAGCTACATGGCACAGAAGCGGGAAATGCTGGTCCGAGCTGAGCGCAAGGTGTTTACAGCCCAATCTCTGTTCAGAAGTAAGTCCCGCTGAGTTCAGCAAGAGCCGTTACTCCGGGTATGTGCAGCATTCACCACTGTGGCCTCAGACTGCAGTCTGGTTTCCATCTACCAGGGAGCAAACCCCGCAGAACTCAGTGGTTCTCCCTTTGGACGGGACATGCCAAGGGTCCTGCTGCTCGTTCATTCATCTCTGCTGGGAAGCCGGAGCCAGCCGGGTTCTGAACCGATGCCAAGCACTGCAACAAAACCGCGACTGCAACGGCAACACCAGGTCTGTGGGAGGGTTCGATCCAAGTGCCACAGCACACCTGGAAATGGGGCGACACCGAGTCACGGGGCGCGAGGCCGATAAGCAAAGTCCTGCCTCTCAGCCGGGACAAAGGCGACACGGGAAGGCGACGAGCCGTGCGGCGCATGGCTCTGCCGGGCCGAGACACTTTGCTGCCCAAGCAAGGGAGGCAAGGGCCGCCACTCCCTCCGTGCTGTGCACAAGAGCCAGCTGGACTTCTCTGCACCTGGAAATGGCAAGTGAATTGGCTCAAGGAGTGCAAATCAAGGCACGTGGCGCACTGGTCCCTCTTTCGGCGTGCCTGGTGGCAACCTCCCACCATTTGGCACCTAGAGAGACTGCCTCATTCTGGCCGTCTGTGGAGCCGGTGTCCTTGTGAAGCATCCTCTGATAACAGTCCTGGAAGGAGGAAAGCCTTGCCCCCTCCCCGGGAGCTGTCCCACTCCCCACAGATGCGGCTCTTCCTCCTCGGCCACGGCTTCAGAGAGACTTCGCAAGGGATTCTGGGCACACCTTGGTTTCCTCGGACAGTGACAGAGAGCGCAGAGGTTGGTATGGAATCCGCTAAAATGCGCTCTTCCTCCCGGCAAAAGGGCCACCGCTGCTGTCTGCGTGGGGAGGCAGGTGCTCGGCCAGCACGGATGGCCGCCTTGCAGGCTGCGGCAGAAATGCAAGCTACTTCCCATTGATGTTTTCAGAGCCCTGGTTGTCAATGGCCGTATTTTGGGGAGGAGCAAAAGGGGCTGAATTGGCAACAGACTTGCCACTCCGGAGCCTTTGTTAAGCCAGGCGGTTCAGCTTAAAGCAACTGGGCATGTGACCATGGGGGGGGGGGTTGGGGGGAACACCTTCCAACCCGCCGGAATACATAAAGTGAACTAGACATCTCCACACACATCCTGTTTACCAAAACACGATGTGACATTCAGGACTGTTTTCCCCTCGAAGGCAAATGCTTGGGCAAAGCCACCTTAGAGATAACAAAGGGCTAATCTTTTCCAAGTGGCATCCCAACCCCCCAACCAACCCCCCCCCCCGCTCAACCTTTCCAGGGAAATTAGTTGTGCTGATCCAAGGCTTGGCTTTTGCAAGGCTTGGATGAAGTAACTTGAGTCACCATTGGAGAAAGCAAAAAGACAAAACAAAGGAACCACTGCCTCTCCCCCCCATTTCCATCCTACAAAAGAAGGGGCGCGAATTGGCAGGTCGCGATCCCTGAGCTCTCTGGCCCAGGGCAGCCCCAGCACAAGCACAGGCCAGCTCCCCTCGGTCGGCTGGAAGCAGCTGCAGCCTCTTCCTGCCAGCATGGCTATCCTGGAAGACTGAATGAAGAGAGAGCGTGTGTGTCCGAGCACACGTGTCAAGGGCTAACTGATAGCTGCCCAGCTCCTGTCCTTTTAAAGTGCTAGTGCCAGAATCCGGATAGGAAGAGCCCCCTCTCACACCCACATGCACACACGCACAATCCCTGCCAGGGAAGGCAAACAAAAGAACCCTTAGGGCAGCTGGCGCCCTGACCACTTGTGTCGGACCACAGACCCCATCATCCCCTGGCTGGCGATGCCAGGGGATTCAGCCCCAGACTTCTGGAAGGGAGGCGGGTGGGACAAGGCTGGCCCTCAGTACTCACTTCTCCCCAGCCCGTCCGCTCGCCATTCCGTCTCCTCCACAGCCCCGTAGCGCCTCGGGGGCTTTTCCGCTTCCATGCTGGCCGAGATGGAGCGCTTCAACTCCATCCTTTCCGCGCGGATCTCCGCCTGGGCCGCGCTACTCCTTTTTCCGCGGCTCCCCGCTCCTTTTATTCCATCCCAGATGAAGCGAAGCAGAAAGGGACGGAGCGCGGGGGGGGGGGGCAGGACTTTCGGCTCAGCCTTTTCCTGGCTCTGCCGCTGGACTGGCAAGCGCAGCGAGGTCCTCACCGCATCCCTCCGCTGCGCTGGTACCCACCGAGGAAGGAGAGGGAGGAAGATGGAACGGGATGCAGCGCGCATGCTCGGTGTGGAGACGCTCCTTGAGAGGAGCGCCCGAGGGAGCGCAGGGGAGGGCGAGAGAAGGGGAGGCAGGCAAACAATGGGGACAAACATGCCGTAGTGGGGAGGGAGTGGGGGAGGGCGCCGGCCCCGCGGGGAGCGCACGGGGGCGGTGGGAGGAAGACTCCTACAGAAATGGCACTCGGCACTTGCACAGCTCTGCTCCGTGGCCGACCCTCCCGCTTCTCTGCGCTGCTGCTGGAAATAAGAACTACACACCCTTCTGGTTGCCCGAGGTTGTCTCATGGGTGGCCGTAAGTGGGTGCGAATTTCTGCCATGAGGGATGTAGGCGCGCCAGCTAGCAGGGGTGCAGGGATAGGCCGTGTGGTCTTCTGTCTCCCACAGCTCTCCGGATGTGGAGCACTTGCTGTGGTTCAAACTGCGTGGGTGAGGAAATCACTCTGCATATGCGCAGAGGCTTGCAGATTGCCTGGCATGAGTTTGGTGATCGTCGGAGCACCAGCTACTGCTGCGGTGAGTGGCCTCTGCGCTGATTTTGCAGACGCTGGGAGGATAACGAATGTTCGGCTGCCACCGGTCTGTCCTTCTGTCTGTCCTCCACTCCTTAGCTCCATCAGCCTGCAAAAACACTTAGATTTGGAGCAGATTCCAGAATGCAAAGCATCACACCAGGGTCCTCAGACGTTTTGCACCCCTGGGCACCCCTGGAGTTCTCGCAGAGTGTCTCGTAGGCACCCTCACAACATGGCTTCTGTGGGTTGGAGGCTGCCAGGGCAGGCAGGATTGGTCCCAAAACAGTGATGGAAGGTGCTAGAAAGCAGTCTGGCGAGACTAATGGAAAAGAACCCCGAGGCCACATTCAGGGCAAAAGTGGGGAGGGGACTGAACGCACCGATGGGGGGCTGCCTCCAAGAAGCCCCTCATGCCTCAGCCGTGCAAGCCACATCCTCGCAGAGCCCACCCTGCTGATCATGAAACCCAGTTCGGTCAGTGCTGTGGGAGATGGCCGGCCAAGTGCGCATGTCCGGAGCCGTCTGAGGCTGAGCACACAAGTAGCAGCTCCGTGGGTCAGACTCGCTCGCTCACCTTCTCTCTCAGATCTGCGGTCTCAGCCCGTGGCGGATGCAGCTCAGATGTGCCAATTACTCCTACGGGTATGTGCAGATTGCACTCAATTCAAAGGGGCTTGCTCTGAAGTACCTGGACAAGATACTGCAGTCTGGCTGAGGCAGATCAGGGCTAGACAAATGTCAGGCCTGTGGAATCTGCTTTTGTTGCTAGGAACCATCCATCCTTGAACGAGACACAGGAACAACCTGGGGCCAAGCCCTGCACATCCATAACAAATCTGAGTTTAATCTAAATCCATGACGTGAACACCAAACTCTAAACTGAGCCGCAGAGCTGCATAAAGACTGAAAGCCATGATGATTGTTTAATACTCCCATTTTACAGGCCAGGAAGAGTGAGGCCAAGACAGACATGACACTGGAGCATTGCAATAGCTTCTGGGTCAGGGTTTGATTGAGAGGGATAGGAAGGCTAATGACCCCTTAGATCTTCAGTTTCTCCTGCCTGCTTATTGGCACAGCCCCAGAATTCCCAGTTTCTGGACTTATATAGGCCTCTGTCGTTTCCTGGCTACAAAGAGCCAGAAAGAGGGCTCCAATTTTATTAAAAGGAATCTCTGAGGTCCTCACCATCTCTACGGCAGGAGTGCAGGAACTGAGGCCCAGAGACCAAATTCAGAAATCGGGGGTCGTATTCGACCCCTCCGGGAGGCCTGGAAGTCTTCCCACCAGCCACCCATCATGCCACGCTTCGCCAGCACCTGTGCATCCCCCCCCCCCCCAATCCTAAAAGGTAGCTTGCTCTCCCCAAGCCTGAGTTACTTGCAGGAAGGGATATGTGCTGAGCTGCCCCTTGTGGGCTTCAGCCCTGCCCATGGTTGGGACATGCCCCCTGAGAGCTTCCCCAAAATGGCAGGAGGCCCGCGGACTATAAGAGCCTCTGTTCTCCTGAGCTGCAGCCTCCAAAGGGTGCTCCTAGGCCTGTGATGGCAAACCTTTGAGAGACCGCGTGCCCAAACTGTAACCCCAAACCCACTTCTTTATCGCAACTCTGCAATAAAACCTGAATACTGAGGTTTTAGTTTAGGAAAAACAACTCATACATTAACATCTTTTGTCTTAAAAGAAAAGCACAATAGCAGGGCTTTAAGTGATACAAACATATATATCTCCTTGGCAGCGCACGGATGGCCATGCGAAAGCTCGGGCGAGTCACAGCTAATGAGCATGCGCGTGGCCCCCGCGTGCGCTGTTATCCGATGCTCGGCTGCTGGGGTGCTGCTGGGGCGACTTGGCTCGTGCGCCGACAGAGAGGGCTCTGCGTGCCCGTCCAGGGTCTCTGGAATGCATCTAAAGAGAATAAAATTGCTCTCCGCATCGGCGAACTGGTAAGCAATCTACTTGCTGCCGGATGAAGCCACTGTTTCTTGACATGGGGAAAGGCCAAGCTCTCGCGTCACTGGCCACAGTGGGGAGCTCGGCCACTCTTTTGCGCCTGGGCTGCTCGCCTGCTCTGCCGGCCATGGAGCTTCCTCTGGGCATCACAGAGGACAAGAGACACGATAATGATAACTTCGCGGTTGCTGCTGTACATCCAGAAGGAAAAGGCCAGACAGCGCGATGACTCACGAGCCGAAGTAGCAGGTGGCAAGTGCAGTTTCACTGCTAATTTGGGGGTGATGACGCTGCGGTGAGTTGCTGGAAAGGGCTGGGCTGATTCACAGGGAGCAACCGAGAGCCCGGGAGTGGGAGGACAAACGTGAGCCCATCTGAGACAGGATGGGGGGTGGCGAGTGCTGCCTTGAAGAGCCGCAAGGCTCCCCGATGCTCCACAAAACGTGCCGTCAGAACTGGCTGGAATGGATGATGTTATGGACTAGCGACTTGTCTCTCTCCTGCCAACAGTGAACTCAGTGGCAGGAATGGGGCTGTGAGGAATGGGGCCGCAATGGGGCTACTGAGCCTGGAGGAGGCACTACTGGGAAACAATGGCCTTTGTAGAAATAGAAGAGGGAAAGCAAAAAGCTGGGACCCAGACAGAGAGCACGCATGCACCAGGACCGTCCCAAAATGGGCAGAGCTTGCTCAGCGGACAAGGAATGAGGAGCATCCACCGGAAAAGAAAACTAGCCAGAGGTATTTGGCTCTTACCCCCAGAATCCCCCAATCAGTTCTGTTGGCCAGAGGATTCTGGGAGCTGTAGTTCAACGCCTCTGGAGGTCATGAGGCTGGGGAAGGTCATTGGTCAGAATGCTGGCACAACTAGCTGGCAGGAACCCTCAACAGGAGTATTTCTAGGAGCTGAGGCACCAAGATTTCAGTGTAGGAGGCTGCTTTTGAATTTATTCATTTGAGTGTTCAGTGTTCGTTGCCCTTTGAGCAGCCCAGCATCAAAAACTGTAAAAGCTGTTCCCAAAGGAAATAATAACCATTGTATAATTAAGCAATAATAAAAACAGATGGCTTAAAAGTTCCCTCACTGAAAATAATTTTAAAAACAGAACAGAATAATTTGTCAAACTCCCTGCAGGGAGTTCACAAATAGCAATGCAACCGTGCGTGCGAGGCAGAGCTGTAATGAAATGTTGCAGCACGGAGTGAGCGGCGCACGTCCGGATTCCTGTCCTTCCATGCCATTCTGTCTGTCTCCCTGGTTTCCTTTTGCAATTCCCACAATGCCAGCAGGCAGTCAGTATTCTGTATCTGCTGGGTATGTTCAGGCTCTACTGGGCAATTGTGGGGTTCACCCGCCACATGTTTTTTCCCTTAAAAGTTTTTTGCACCCTTGCAAACTGTGGGCACCCTCAGGCTTGCTGAGAGCTCTCTCCTGTGCTTGGGGTTCAGCGCTGCAAACGTTTGAACGGGACTGTTTGCAGACAGACCTGTACAGGGTTATGCTCCAAATTGCTGCGACCTGCTCTGTATAGCTTCAGGGTTGGGGAGGGCTGTCCATGGTCCTGTATTCATCCCCAAACTACTTCACCAACATGGAGTACCACTGAGAGCTCCGATAAAGCTCAGAATGAAAGTTGCAATGGGAAGGAGTCCCTCAGACAGGGGTGTCACCAGTGCCCCCTGGGCTTGGCTGGGACTGATGTGGGTTGAAGCTCCCAAACCTCTGGAAGGCACCAAGCTGGGAAGGCTGTTGCAGGACAAGGCCAGGGGGTTGAACCTCCAGCCTCTGGCCGAAACTGGCCACCTCGGTCCTCTGAAGTCCCTCTCATGGCTGCACCACCTGTCCCAGCTCTAGTTGTTTGGTGCTTTTCTGGTTTTCCCACATTTTCCTCCTTCTAAAGGGCTGAGATGTTTCTCCTAGGCCTCGGCCGCTGGTAGGAAGAGCTTTATGCTGTTATGCTGAGGCTCCACCCCTTTGCCATGGCACCGCTCTCTTTTCCCTCTGGTCCCAAGCGACATTAGGATGTGGCCTCCAAGGGCATTTCAGGAAAGGAATCCAGCCCTTGCCCAGAAGGAGGATCCGTCCCTGGCCCAGAGGGAAGCGCTCACAGCCGAAGTGGCCAAGATCCTGCCTGGTCTCATGCCTTAGTTCCCTTCATCCTCGTCTCTCTCTCTCAGGCTGCCCTCTACCCTGTATTTATGTCCTGTCCAATCAATCAGCGGAAAGGCAGAATAACGGCTCTCTGCGTACAAGCAGGACCATTCATGGCACACTTTGG